AAATTTTATAACCTTAGATATAAATAAAAACAATATTATGAATTTTGAACTACAAAATAATTTGCAAATATTCATGGTTTTGACGAATTTCTGTCAATATATTTGAATTTCCAGTTGACATTTTTTTTTGTGATAAAGATTGACAAATGTTTAAGAAACCTTGTATTAAATTTTCAAATCTTAGGTATAAAAGGAAAATTTTTTATGAATTTCTAGGATAAAATAATTTACGAATTTTCGTGATTTTTACGTATGTTGTCAAAATTACATATAATAATATATGTTATTTCTGACAAAACTAATTTGATTATATGAGTAGCTAACTAATAGTAACGAGAGATCTATGTAGTAATATCTAGTGCAAATAATGTGTAAACCTTTAAATTCAAAGAAATGTTCGTTTAGCATAATATTCGTATACTATAATGAGTATAATATCGTATCTTGTATATTATAAATTATATTTTAATTTATGTTTAGTAGGTTATGATGAAGTCACAACAATTAATACATACAAAGAAGCATTAATTCAAATAAAAAATCTTCTTTGGTTTGCTATTGATCAACAAGATGATAATCTTCTTCAATTGGTTTCATCGATCAAACAACATACAGAACAAAAAATAGCAGCAACCGTAACAAATCAAAAAACACTTCATCATTTTTGGAAATGCTAAATGTTTATATGTAATATTTAATTGTCGTCTTATATGTAGTATGTAATATGTAATAAAAAACCTATACATGATTTTAGTTTAAATTTAATGAATTTTAAAGAATTATATTATGTATTTAAAACAATAAATTGAAAACTATTCTTTGGTATGTATTTCTTATTTATTTGAATTGAATAATCCGGAATTTTTCCGTTTTATTGAATTATTATCAAACGTATTATCGTACATGAACATAATATGAGTAATATTTGTTTAAAAATATTGAAAACAAGTATACGAGTGTTCAACTGCATAATATTCTGCAATAGTATAGGATAATAATAATTAGAAAATTCAGTGGACAACTGTGTTCGTAAAGTTATGAATTAAAAAATTTTCACGAATCTGTATAGATTCATTCGTTCCTCTTCGATTAGTGTTTTCAAATTCATGTAAGGCCCCTCGTTGAGTTATTTCTTCTTCGTTTGAATCCAAAGTGTAATCAATATCACAATTTTTTATGCGCAAGTAATTATGTAAAATACATGTTGTTAATATTATTAGCTTTGTAGTTTGTTCTTTTAGTTCGATCGCACTTTTATAAACTCGCCATTTTTTTGTTAAGATACCAAATGCGTTCTCAACTACCCGCCTTGCTCTGCACAGTCTATAATTATATGTATCTAGTCTAATGTCATTTCTTGATAATCGGTGTGGAAATGGTTTCATTAAATAACTTTTTAAAGCAAAAGCTTCATCTCCGATAAGAACCATTGGGATATTTTCCTCTTGACCAGGTAATGGTATACTTTTTGGAACGTTTAAATTCCCGGCTTCCAGCCGTTTACCCATTACAGACTCTTCTAAAATGCCTCCATCAGAATTTCGTCCGTAACCTCTAACATCAATACAAATAAATTTATAATGTGGATCTACAATCGCCATCAAAACAACTGAAAATTTTTTAAGATAACAAAAATTTCTAGATTCACTATTATCCGGACATTTGATGGTAACGTGTTTTCCATCAACACTACCGATACAATTTGGGAATTGCCATTTCTCGTAAAAACCGCGAGCCGAAGCTTCCCAAATTGCTGTAGTAGGCTCAGGCATAAACATTGGTCCCATTATCTTGATTATAGCTTCACATACTTCTACAATTATTTTACTAACTGTTGAAAAACCAACACGAAAGCTGTGTCCAATAGTTGACAGGGAATCACCAGTTGATAAATATCTTAAAATTAAAATATTCAATAATTAATACAAATAAGTTGTTTAAATGATAAATTTACTTTATAGATTTCATATTATTTTATAAATAACATATTTATTTTAATAACCTATACTTTTAAATAAAAATGTCGTTTGTACTAGACACTAGTCTTTGTTATACATTTATATATATAATGATTTATCCTACCAGAGTTGGGAATTATTCGAATTATTCCCAAAAATCAAATAAATAATAAATTTACCTAAATCCTATAAATAACGTTCGTACTAAGGTTTTTTTAATAATATTTACTATATACTATAATTTTACATGTCAAAATAAGTATTAAATATTATTCATAATTTTAACGACTAAAAATATTCAGAATGAAAAATTATTCTTTATTYATAAATAAATTATTCATGCTTTTATTTTAGATTTTGAGCGGAGCGAATATTGATGTTAAAATGATGTGTTTTTTATGTGTGTACACGATAAGTTGTCGAAATTATGCTTCGATTTTCAACTTCAGTAGCTTTTGAGGTTAGAAAGTGAATATAGTTCGTACACTGGGGATGTGAAATTTAGAAATTCACAGTAGTTTTCAAAAGAACCGGAAAAAAACAATAAAAAATTTAAGGAAATACGGGAATTTTTACGCAAAATCAATTTTTTGAGAAAATCGATTTTAGATATTGGTGTAACTCTAAAACAAATTACCGTAGACACTTGACATTTTTACTGGATGTTTATATTGGCATTTTCTATACTTGATAACATTTTCAAGCTATTTTTAAGTTATTTATAGAAATTATAAATTTTCCGTTTTTTTTTTTAAATTTTTTATTCTATAAATGTCAATAAGACTGTATTCATTGGATCAAAAAACTTGAGAATTTAATACAAGGTTCTCCATAAGTTGGTAGTAGCAGTTGGTWAATATTAAAATACATAGGCACGTTTTTTTCATAACCATTAGAAGTTCAAAAATATTGAAAAAATTTATTTTATTGAAAATTTACAAATTCTACTCTATACAKTCTATACACTCATTATTTATTAAATGTTTTAACCTTTTATAAATACTTGTTTTACATATTATTTTGGGTAATTTATTACTAATTAATATAAATATACTATATAGTTATTGAGATAGGTACCTATACACTAAAATGTGTTTATTTTATATTTTAACTTTTAAAGGAGAAATTTTAAAAAATAAATGGAAGAACTCATGACAAAAGTTAACTTTATTATTATATTATGTTCCTTCAGAACACATGTGTACCTTGGTGGTTAAAACAAATTATTATTAACAACATTAATATATCATGTGTCCAAGATTTGTATATGGCACAAATAAATCATTATCATATTATTAAATTATTTAAAAAAAATTAAATTATTATTCTATTTCTCGACAAAAATATTAGAACAATGTTCACTATACAACAATAATTAAAATTTTGTTTTTCCATATACCTTACCATTAGTAAATATTTAATATTATGTCCCCTTAACGCCCAGGTTTATATTATTATAATGCTCTCCCTAAMTTCAATTAAAATATTACTATGATTAGTCTGTGTACCAGGTTAATAAACAATATATTCCCTTCTATCTAACATAAGTGTGTTCTCCCAACTATTATTCAAAGGTTTCCMTTTATTATTTTTAAATTGTTATATCCTCGATGATGACTGAGTTGCTGTATAAGAAGTTGGTTAGCCCGGTAGCTTTGCCCCGACTAGGGTCCCACTATTATTATATTCCAAAATAAATTAAAATATTCTTTGTGACTTTGGTTCACACCTATTATATTATCTTATATCATATTGTATACTATTATTATTTATTAAATTAAATTCCATTAATAGTCAACACAGTGTTACTACACTTATAATATTATTAACTTAAGTTGTCCCACTCCTGTGTGGTCGTATACATATCCGACGGTATCGTTAAACCGAATATTATTATTATTAATTTTTTTTTTGTTTTTTCTCTTGTTGGTGCCTGAATTGCTCGCGCATCCAAATGACRGAGCTCCRCCRTCTCRAKGTGAATTTCTCCCACCACGCGGCGACCAGTGGTGAGCACCGCAGCGCCTTTTCACGACCGGCGAAGTCGGAGGTGACGACGACCGCGCACGACGGACGATGCTCGGGCTGGTTAGTGCTGGGAATGCGCGAGATCCGACGAGTCTTGGTCGCCGCCGAGGTGCGTTCTCTCGMTGGACCGAGTATAGTCTCTCTAGTCTAACTAGAACTTAGAACTTAGAACTTCATAGACTCGTAGTATAAAAATATCGTAATTAATTCACAAGTTATAACGTTATATTGACATATTGTGCGCAWTGGATTTTGATTTGATGGCATATTTCGTTATTAATGAACAATTAAATGACCTAGAAATAAGAAATAGTTTCCAAAGGCCAACGTATGATGCTTTTACATTGACGGATAAACTATTCATGAAAAATTTTTGGTTATCAAAAGAAGTAACGCGGTATTTAATTAATGTGTTAGAACCATACGTTGTGGTTGAAACCCGATTGTCTTCTATTGATATCCAGACAAAAATAAATTAAAAATTCATAATTATTAATCTACCTACATTGTGTTAGGGAACATTTAAATTGTTCAATTTAAGTTTACGCTAACAACGTTGAAATACATGGAATTCGGGAAAAAGAATATAAAATTTGTGTGATCGCTAAGCTAGATTTGATCCTTATTATCATTTGAAGTCTAAAGGCTATAAAAAATAATCTTTTTTTAGGTTTTAGTAGCTTTAAATAGTTGCTGCTTTGAACCAACCCGAAATTTTTAACACTTGGGTAAAATTTCCCAGTAATATTCAAGAACTTGATGAAGTTCGCAACGAGTAATATAATATATTAAAAATATAGGTACATTATAAAAAATATGTACAGTTTGAAACTAATTTTGTTAAAACTGTGAAGGTTTTATAAAAAGACGSGATTTGCTGGAGTCGTAGGCTGCTTAGATTGTACCCAATGTACCCACATTACCATTGTGTCTCCTTCAAAAAATTTGAATCTTGTTGAAAACCAATACCCAGAGTATATGTATGTAAACCGCAAGAATTACAATTCAATTAATGTTCAGCTGGTAAGTAAGATTACCTACTATTGTAAAATTAGAAGTAAATCATAAATATTATGCTTCCTAAGTACCTACAAAATGCTCCACGTTTTAAATATAGGTATGTGATTCAAATCTAAAAGTACTCAACGTAAATGCGTTATTTCCCGGAAGCACTCATGATGTTCATATATGGAACAACAGCAATGTTTCAATCATGCTTGAAAAACTGCATGATCATCATTATAGTGACTACTTTTTATTAGGTAAATGTTATTTAAAAATATTACCAAACCATAACAATTTGAGTACCTAACCCTAATTGGGGGGTCAATACACGGTGTGTCCTGCCTAACACGGGACCACCACCGTGTGCGAGCCTCGCTCCACGCAATTGCGTAGCACAATTCCGGTTGTCAACACAACCCCAGTAGGCCCGGGTCATTTAATTCGTAACTTTCAGCGTTGTCCCCTTTTTTACCCCACCTATTTTCTTTCTCTCCTTAACTTCTTTCAGATTCGTTGTCACCCCAGCTCGGTAGGGCCCCCGTCTGGTAGAGAGGGACTCTCTGCACGGCAAAGAGTCTGCGACACTCTTCTCGTAAGAAAACCGGTGTTGTAGGGACATCCTGAGCCAGGGAGGACACGACCTTGGACCGATCAGGTGCGGCTGCATTCGGGTCTCAGCGGTTCGCGTCTACCCATGTCCGGGGTGGTTGGTGTAAAAGCTGGCTTCCCTGGAGGTGTTYGTGTAGGCGCGACCGGGTCGATCACTCTGTGGTTCACTGTGAAAATCACAATCACAAATCACATCTTCAATATTCCATATACAAATAGTTTTTGAAAAGTCACTAACTTTATAGATATCTATTGTATTGCTTTTTATAGGTTCTTTAAAAAAACTCTCCAATTTAAGGAATTGTCTTCCAAGCAAAATTTGTTTTTTTTAAATGCTGACAATAACAAATATTAACTACTTTAATAATTTATAAATTGCCATTAGTTTTTAAGCCAACATATGAATCAGCATTAACATGTATTTTGATTGTAATTTGATCTAATATTAATATTTTTAACTGAGGAGAAGAAATCTCATTTGTAAGTGGACCTTCGCTATGTTCTACTTTAAACTGTTTTGGAGGAATATTATTTACATTATTTTCACAATTAGTCATAAATGACAATGAACGTTTTTGATATCTCTTTACTACCTGTTGAAGTGGTTTGTCATTTTTTCGGACCATTTTTTTTAAACCGTACATGTAATTTTCAAATTTAAAGCAGCTAACATTATCGAGTGGTCCATATAAATTATAGTCATCATATAAATGAATTAAAGAATGTATATTATGTGAAACAAAATGACTTCCATACAAATGAACAAATTGTGTAACAAAATCATTCATGATAGATTTAGCTGAAGATGCTAACATATTATAGTTGGGACTCAAAAATATTGTCATAACAATTTTTTAAGCTTAAAAAATGTTTATAAATCTTCTTTGATACAATAGAATGAATTGACAGAGGTCCCAAGTATAATAAAATCAATCTTAGTTCTGTTGCTTTAAACCTAGGCAATTCATCAAGTGACCTTGGCTTACAAGCAAATTCGCAAGGAATACTATTTCTAAAAGAAACCAAACGTTCAGAAATATGTTTAATTTGAATAGAATTTAACTTTTGTTTWTTAATATTGCGTTTGGATATCGTATCACCTTTCCAAAGCATTAATATCTTCTTGACCGCTCCTAGACATACAGAATGCATGTAATCAATACTAAAATGATTTACTACATCAAAATTTGGAATATTAAGTATTTATGTTACTTGGTGTTTATCGTTATGATATTGCCGTTGAATTTTATCTACAAGATCATTATGTGTCCGTTTTGAACAGTTCAAATTAGGGAAACACACTCGCCTCATTAAGTATTTACCTTTGACAGTACATCTGGTACAAGAATAAAAACCAGAATGGGATTTTTTATTAAGTAAAAAACTTTTTGSAGGCTGGTCGCAACAAATCGCATCAATAGTAACATTTTTATGAACATTATTTAATATATTATTTTCAGTGTACTGATTAACATTAATTAATGTTACCATGAGTTAGGTATAAGTTGTTCTATTTAATCGACAAAACATTTCATAAACGCATTGCTATTATCTGGTTTCTTATTGCCCACATAAATTCCTATGAGAAATACAGATTGGTTACGCTGTCTGCTTAAATAACCAAGAATAGGCCAAAAACAACTGCCTGAAGATTTCGACAAAGGCAAGCCATCTACACCTATAACTAATCTARTTGAATCTACTAAATAATTAAGATCAATATATTTTTTGATATTATCATTCACGCCAAAATGATAATATATTCCTGGACTAACTATTTGAACTTCAACAGGTTTTTCATAAGAAACCCCAGAGCACATTTTGTATAAACTTCTACAAGAAGCTGGTAAATGTTCAAAACATTTATGTTTTTTTTAAATACTTAATAACTTATCAAAACTATTGTTAGGTATATTTTGATATAAGGCCCATTGAACTATATCTTCAATTATATCTCTAGATGTAGCTATTGAGTTTTGAAATTCTTCAATTGGATCAAAATTTCCATCACTATTCTCTAGCAATAATGATGTTGAAGCATTATTTAACAATTGGTTAGCATTATTGGTAGGTAAATCAAAACCCACAGATGGGGAATGATATGTTACATGATTATCAACGTCTGTATAATTTGTAGTTAGTTCTATCAAAGGGTTATCGGTTACAATAGTAGAGGTATTATTTAATGCGACAGACGGTGAAGTTATAAAACTATCAATATGTGACAAAGTTTTTATGTAGTTCTTCTCGTCTAATAATCTCCTACGTTTGGTAGACTTACTTAAATTATTTCTTCTGCGCATTATTGTAGAATATTATATGTACATATTATGTATATATTATATATTACGTTAAATACTTAAATATAATTATAATGTAAAAATTACTCACTATTACTTGCAGTAGGTAGTCATTAGAACAGTTTGATGTACCTAGGTACGTAATATATTGAAATAATATAATATATTTTATAACAGTACGTTACAGTGTCACACGTTAGGTAAATCAATTTATTAAGTTAAAACTTGTAAAGTTAAGTTAAAAACATGTAATCTAATAAATATTATTAAAATAAACACTTCACAACAGACGCTATGAGTACCTATACGAAACCGCAGAATAAATGTTTAAACTTTAAATAACGTGTAATATACATAACAGTTCATAAGCATAACTTTAGATATGATGAATGTACGGAATACTTATTATTTTGTAATAAATTAGTAATTACGTAAACACTATTGTGGTCTGGCGGAAATTCGACAAATAATCATTTTTGAGTTAAAAATAATCAGCCGCGGCCGTCGAAAACCCTACAGCCAGGCCAGCCATGTATACCGGCACTACACAAACACAACAAATATCTTTTGTTGTTAAAGTTGTAAAATTTGTTGAAAAAACACTTATAGATTTAACATTTAATTTTAAATCAATTAAAATGTTGAATTCTAGTTTAACGTCAAAGATAATTATTTTTGAAAAAAATTACGTTTATAATTCTAATATTTTAGTTTATGTAAAATGTCCTAATGATGGATTCTTAGAGAACCATAAATTAGAATTAGTTACTATTATTTGTAAAGAATATTTAAAAATTAGATTGCACCATGTTGCAAAATCCATAACATCCGATATTGTGAGTAAACGGCGTGCCATGGGTACTTTTAAAATAAAATTATATGATTTTAATTACTATTTTGTTTATTTTTTGCATTGTACATAATATTTATTATAGTGATCTGTGGGTAGTAAATAGTGTTTTGCCAACCGAAAACATGGCGGCCGTCTTATCACTGTGCCTCACTTTTCGTAATATAGAAACCGCCCAGTTCGGTATCTAGTATAATATAGACATCTGTGTATTACTCTTCTGTGTATTACTGATCATATACAATGGATGGAGCCATGTCCCGATTTGTTGAAGCACATATTAGCGACGAGTCACGAGATGAGATGCACGATCTGCGCATGCGCATGTATACTCGTCACATATTTATTAAAAAAATTGCATCCTCCTTGGGAATTCATACTAAAAATTCGTCATATCTCATATAAATATTATATACACAAATATATTATTCATCTATTATAACAAAATTAATATTATTTAAAAATCAGTAAGTAGTAATCTTCGACCATATAAGCTAATAGACGCGCCTTATCATATGCTTGTATAGGCACAATTATGTAGCCATCATGTTTAATGATATGACGTCACGTTTAGGCAAAACAATTTCGAGTTATTATTAATTTGTTTATTAAATTATTTTTCACATTCTAGCTTTCATGGTTTCAAACTGCTTTCTTTGAAACTTGAAAGTATTGTGTTTTT